ATTTAAAAGACGAGTAGATGAGGCACTTAGGGACATGGTTTAGTGGGCATGGTGGTGTTGGGTTGACAGTTGGACTCGATGATCTTAGAGGTCTTTTCCAACCTCAATGATTCTATGATTCTATGATTCCTAAGGGCAGGAGGACACACGCCTGGGACATGCCCTTAGAGCACAGCCACACACAGAGTAAAGTGCTGGATGCTTTCCTGCATCCAGGAAGCACTGCAAAGGAGCATTTTGGTCAACCGCATCATCTGACCGCAGCAGAGTACGTACCATGCTTTGAGGACGGGACCCAGGTAGGTAACACCCCCTTGCTATGCAACCTCCACTTCTCTTACTGCTGTGATCCTTCATCAACTTCTCTCTCCATACGCCGAGGGGTTCCCTATAATGCCTGTCAAGCGTTCTGAGGCTCTCAAGTGGAAGGTATCGTATAAATACAGTTATGCTCTAATACTCCCCCTGACAGTCCTGACAACTGGGCTGTATTCACCATTTGGTTTCCTTCCAGGCATAGCTCACATATATAAAAGTACCATTTTGCTACAGCTACACAGTAACAATCCTCTCATCCCTGCAATAGTCTAGAGCCAGCGTAACTTCCAAGTGCTGCAAAGTGGAGGACCTGTCCCAAAGAGAAAATCCATCATTTATACCACTGGAAGCCAAATATGACAACGCACTGGGAAAAAATACTGTAGTTTTGGGTGGCGAGGACTGGATCGTGCTCGCTTACTTGCTCCTTCCACCATAACCTTGCATCTGCAACCTCCAAATCCATGGTAAGAAGCTCAAATTGTGTCTCACATGGTGTACACAGAGCCCACGGGAGAACGCCAGTCAAGCTATTGTGAAAGACTCCGCAGACCCTCCAGGCTCTGGACAGCAGCACCTACTCAAGAAAATTCCCTTCCCGATGCGGCAGTGAGCAGGGGCCGGGTTACAGGGTGCCACGAACGAGGGCCTGGCTCCCGGCCTGCCTCGCTTCATTTCCCGCCTTGTATCGGCTTCGTAGAGAGAAAGGGCCGCGGGCGGGGTGAAGAAGAGGGAGGCGGAAGGTTTGACCCCCCTCAGGGCTCTGAGGAAGCCCCGTCGTAAGGCGGGAAGGCCGGGGGGCTCCGCTCCCCACGCCTGACCTCTCACCAGCGTCGCCCAGGGGGGCTCAGAGGGG